GCAAATGGCGATTGGGATAGATTCTAAGTTGAGAGGCTAGTTTGACTCTAGTGTTGTTGACTATTTGACTAGAATGCACTCACCTTGTTAGGAGAAAGGAGAGGATAAATATTTTTGAAATTTTTTTATAATGGGTCTTTTACTATCAAATATGCCTATAATTTTTTAATTGCATGTGTGCACCAATGATAAGACAATGTCTAGAAGCTACTTTGGAGATGGTCGGTTTCGAAGAAGGTAAAATTATTATGGCTATTTATACATAGAAGAGCTCACCTTGTGGAGTTGTGAAAAAAGAGGGGTATTCAGGATAATGATAGATGCCCGATAGGTTGCAACCAAATAGAGAATTGAATGCATCTTCTTAGGGATTGTGTTAATGCTAAAGATCGTTGGAAATCTGTCCTTAAAGATAAGGTTCAGGGAATCTTCTTCTCCTTGCAGGGAGCTAAATGGGTCAAGTGGAGCTTGAAACATGAAGCTAGACAAGCCTATATTAGGAAAATTTCTTGGGCTACTCTCTTTGGTTACATTTGTTGGGGCATTTGGGTTAATCATTATAATATTTTATTTGGCTCACAGCAAACAATTGTACCTAGTAATGGTAGATCTAGTCTGTTAAGAGCGTGTATTGATAAGGATCTCACAAATAATAGTTAATTGTTTAAAACAAGTAATAGGTTGGATGAGACCCAATTTGATGGAGTAGAGTTTTTCAAGCTTGATGGTGATGGCTTTGTTAGGGAAAATAGTAGCAATGGATGTGAAGAAACCCTATGAGACAATAATGCTAACTAGATTTATGATTTCAGCTGAAAAATTATCATCAATTCCTTTGGTGGTTGCAGAATTTATTGGTATCACATAGAGATTACATTTATATTGGTGAAAGGTTTACATAAGATACAAATGTTCTCTGATAGCTTAGATGCCATTGATTTTGTTTTGAATGGCTGTGATTATAATTATTCTTTTAAAGAACTTGGTTGATGAAGTTAAGGTTTTCATCTTTAGAAAATGTTGTATTATTTTTAACTACATAGGTAAAGAGCAGAACCGGAATGTTGATTTGCTTGCTAGGTTGTCTCGCAGTACAGTTAATAGTTCTAGCTTCTGTAATCATCATGCATCTCCTAACCTAGAGTTGGAAGTCAATGAAAGAGTGTAGATTTTTTTGGTCTTTTTTCCTGTTTGTTCTTGTTGATTTTGTCTTTGTTCTCCTAGCTTGTTATGGTATTCAGTTTCCATTCAAAAAAAAAAAAAACAAATCCTACTAAAATTATAATTGTGTCCCTCGTTGCGTGCATATATATATATATATATATATATATTCATTGATATTGACGATACATTGTTTAAAATTTATAATTTAGAAATATGTATGATAAAATTTAAAATCTTTAATAAAAAATAATTTTTACAGTAAAAAATAATTTTTAAGAGAATCATCCATGAGCGTGAGACTGAAAAAGTTACGAACATGAAAGCGCGAGACTGAGAGATTTGCTAGCTAAGAGTCTTGATCTGAGACTGAGACTGGGACGCGAGTTCCGTTTCCGAGTGGCGCCGGTAAGCCCTTACCATAAGTCTTCAATTACTCTTAACGATGTCTTTTTGTGAAGTTCCTGAGACTTTCAAATGGTTTAGGTTTTTCATCTCCTCCAAAGAATTGGCTAGATTTTCATTTTCTCTTTGATGTTAATGCTCATAACTTAATATTAAGCCTTTCCTTCTTCGGTCTTCGGAATAGTATACTATAATAATATTTACTGAAGCCATTTTCCCGCTCTGGAAAATCTTATTTGTCCAGACTGTTTCAAATTTTGGTATGAATGCTTGCGTTTTTCCTATGCGATCAAGTTGTGTACTGTTAATTTTGTTGTCGTATTTGTTTTGGTTTCGGGTTTGTATTATCGTGATATAAGTATAACGTGTTACTGATTCTTAGTATTATTGTGAGTTTTGAATTCCTAGGCAACAAGACGATGAAAGTAAAGTACTTTGCTTGATTCTGATAAACTGTTAAAGCTATTAGCTATGCATTTCCATTGACTTCCATTTTAAGAAAATCTTTTTGACTCGTGGGAAATCATTTTTTTAATAGAAAGTGATCCATTAAGACCAAAAGCTCACAAGTTCAAGATATATCAAAGTGTTCATTTCTCTCCCCTTCCTCTCCTTCTCTAATGAAAGATGGATGTTTAGTTTATGGACTAATTCAGACCACCTTTCTTGTTGGAAATCATTCTGCAACTCTCTAGTTCTGATTGATAGGTGTTTAATATATGAACTAAGGGGTTTTAAGGTCAAGGATAACTCGTGGTAATTGTTGTTTGTAATGTGTACCCTTCACAATAGGACTAGAGACCTGTTTTGTAAAAGCGTATACTATGCACAGCTGTCATTGGATTCCCCCCCTGTTTGGTCAGGTGTTATATGATTTTTTTTTTGTGGGGGAAATTTGATGTATATTAACTTGTTTGACTATTCATGTACCATCCCATTTGAAGATTATCTGCTGGGAGTGGTAGGGCTTCTGTATTTGTGAAATGGGGCAGGATAGACTTTAACAAATTGTGGGATGTCAGCATAATTGGGTTCAGGTATCCAGCAGGTTCCTTCTCATCATTACCCTGCCAGTTAGTTTTTATTTTCTTAAAACAACTACTTTTCAACTTGTCTTAGCGTGTCATGAAACACAATAACACACTCTACGTTTAGCCCTTTGCCAAAATAATGTTTTCTGCCCATTTCTTCAGGCTATTGGGAGGGTGATTCACCCTTGTTCCCTCCAATCTCATCTGAAAGTCAAAGTTGTACTTCTGCAGTTCTATAATTAAGCTGTTAGGAATCTAATTTTTCTTTCTCTTTCTCTTGTTTATTCCATTTCTCACTCCCACTTTATCTTTTCAATCTTTCTCTTATCATTTGGTGATAGTGGACATCTGGCAACATGCTCATGTGGTTGGGTAAAAGATATAGATTGTAGATATTTATAATTTCTGTCTTGCATGTCTATATAATATTATATTCAGCATTTGTTTGTTTGAAACTTGAACTATGAAGTTTGAGAAAGTGGTAGCGTATTGACCATTAGAAATTTGTTTTCTTGTTAATGCTGATAATGATGGCAATGCTATTTTTCTTGAGAATGTTGTTGGTTTATGATGTACGCTGCTGTTCTTGTCCTTGCTATGATGTAGTAATAAATCCATCAAAGTTGAATGATAAATCTCTATGTTTTTTGGGGGACAGATCTCTGCTATTTTATTTACTGCAGGATAGAGTTCTTTTCATTTGTCTCTTGTTCATTGCATCCTGCGACATTGCTGTCTTCTTATAAGGATTCACGTTGCCACTTGTGGGCCTATTTTAATTAATTCCCCTTTAAAAAATAATAAAGAAACTTGACTTTGTTCTTACAATTTCCCTTGTTTATTGTATATATGTATAGACCAATGATCCTAGGTCAAAGGATTCATTGATGGGCTTTTGCTGTGATGATTGGTTTTGTGCATTTCAGGTAGTGTCTTCATAACAGAGAACAAAATGATGAATTTTGCAGCATCGTTATGCAGAAGGGTGAATATCAAGGAGCTTGTTTCAAATGCTCCTGTTTACCGAAACTCAAGTGGTATGCATTTAATGATTGCTATATTAGCTCCTATGTAATTGTATTTTTCTAACATGGGATGGAATGTAATGATTTTTCCGTCTATTAATTTGAGTTTAGATGTCTCTGGAGAAGGATTGAATCTGGTTTTCAGACGATGGGCTACCAAAAAGACAGCAGGATCTACAAAGAATGGAAGAGACTCAAAACCCAAGAATCTTGGTGTCAAGAAATTTGGCGGTGAGGTATGATATTGTTGCTTTAAGCAAGCGTTGTTTCTATGGTAGACTGTGAGAGGACAAATGTAACCAGAGTACTAGACCTGATTGTGGGTCAAGTTTCAGGTCGTCTGCACCATTTAAACAATTGACTAAAAGTTAAGACTCATAATCTAATCAATGATTAGCTCTAAACAGAACCGTTAAAGTCTCAGAATCCAGGAAATCTCATTGCGGAATTCTATGTTTGTTCTGGCAGAGAGTAATACCTGGAAACATCATTGTTAGGCAACGCGGTACCCGATTTCATCCGGGAAACTATGTTGGAATTGGGAAAGATCATACTCTTTTTGCCTTGAAAGAAGGCTGGGTGAAGTTTGAAAGAAACAAACTGACTGGTCGCAAGTGGGTGCATGTTGAGCCCAAGGAAGGTCATGTGCTCCACCCTGTGTATGCAAATGTTGCTGCCACTGAACCAAAAGTAGCTGCCTAAGTTTGATGCACCAGATCTTTCAAGTGACAATGAATTCAGGTTAGTTCTCAAAGCTTACGTGAACCTCTCCTATGTTCTTGGGAAAACTTGGATATAGTGTTCTTTTAAGTGGCTTTTGGATTGATGGATTTAAATTAGAATTTTAAAGTTAAAATCCATGTATTTAAAATATTCTGTTTGGATAGTGTAAAAAACTCTAAAATTAGAAAAGAGATGAGCTGAAATTCAAAGCAAAAATCAAAGATTGGGTTTGATGCCTCTATTTTTCAATCAGTGAGAAAGAAGAACGAGAGATCAGGGGAGAGACAAGTATAAAAAACATAAAGAAAACAAGAGGGGTTGGAATAGTTAAAATTTTAAATCATTAGTGTTTAGAGGAAATTTGAAATTACAAAGAAGTTAGTACAAAGAATTATAATAAAACATGGATTTAGATTTGGTTCCATATCCTTGTATAACCAAATGGGATATCTGTTCCAAATCTAAATTCTTATTTATGTAAACGTGCCCTAGTGTTTTCTTATCAGATTTTTAGTTAAATAGTTATGCATGACGTAATTCTTCTAGAATGAGTCAATGATTAGCTGTTGATTAGAGAATGATAATATACTTTCCGTGGCTTTTATTGAAAAGCCTGATTGCTCGCCCATTGTTCTGTTTCAGCATTTGTGGCGTACTCAAGCATCCCTGATTGTACGGTCAATGTTCAAGTCCCTTGGCATGGAGATTAAAACAACCGTGTTGAAAATAAATATTAGAGGATGACATTGTTTTAAACCCTTTGTTTCGTGGGTTTGAACTAAACTAAAGTTTTAGGATATAATTACCTGGTCTCAGGATATCCACTCGAAAGCTGTAAAAGCTGTTGTGAAATTTCACATCATGTTTAGAATCGAAATTAACTTTCTTTTTTTAGAAAAAAAAATAGATGAGTTAGGTTTTGAAAACTCATTAAGGTTAAAGCATACTTTTAAGTTCAAGAAGTTCTTGCAAAGGAATTTACAAATTACCTATCAATAAGATTTTTTATGTTGACAATGAGATTTGAACCACAGCCTTATACAGTATGGGCTAAATTTTTATCAAGTGGATTAACCTTTATTAATAATTAAACTACATATATATATAAATATATATATATATGTATGTATGTATGTATAAAGTTTTCAAGGAGCTGGGCTTGCTTGATGGCATGCTACTATCAATCTATTATCAAAAAGAAAAATTACTTCTTGAAATTTAGATTTTATAAATTTTAGATCAATAGTAGATCTTAATATTATAATAATAATTGAACGAAAAAGTTATTACTATGATGTAGGAAAATCATCATTGTGTTTTCAGAAGGTTGATGTCAAATTTTATATAATTTTCAATGACTTTCCAATATTCTAGATTCATTAAATCTCTCTCTACCTGTTTTAGGTTCATCTGAGAGGAATCTGAGTCCAGGCCTGAACCATTCATCCTGTTTCGAGTTGACTTCCCAGTTGCCAACAATTTTACTAGCAATGCTCTTCTCTTCAATTTATATTAATCATGATTAACTTTTTTTTTAATCTCCATTTTAGAGTTTATTTTTCTATGTTAACTATTCACTTGGGGGGAAATACATTTTTTTTAATATTATATTCAGGGACAAATCTAGAGGGAGGCAAGGGCGTTACTTGTAAGAAACATTAAGTTAAATTTTGGCTCTATCACTTCATGTTCTATTTTCAATTTGGCCTCCTCATTAAATTAAAGAAATCAATTATCGCTAGTATATTTAAACAATAAGGGTACCATTAACAAGTCACTATGTGATTATATAGTTACTGTATTCTTAGGCCTAAAGGACATATTACTGTTGTCAAATTTTTAAAATATATATATAAATATTACCTTCCTTGTCAAGAATAAAGTGAAAAAGAGAAAAGGGGGGGGGGGGGAGAACAGTATCCTCTTTTTGTGTTATGTGACAATTAGTTGAATACTTACACTTAACAGCAGCTAAATTGGAATTGCTAATAAGAGACTTGATGATAACATAGTGTGTTGCTATTATTTTCCAGCCTGGGACTGAGAAGATTTCCCAGTCGTCCGTGGCTGCGCCAGCCGCACGTGACCTGTTATGACTTATGAGAGAGACTGAGAGTTCATTCATTGAACGCAAACGTATCATATCCTCGATCTTGAATCGCATCACCATCTCTCATCCACCAAAAAGGGGGGAAAAGAAGTCTTCAACGTAACTAGATGGCGTCTTCTATCTTCTCGTCACCTTCCCTTCCCGCCGTCACCTTTTCATATTTTCCTTTCTTGGCCACTTTCCCGGAAAATCACCTTTTGACCTTAAGAACCCCCTGTCGCTTTCAATCTCCTCTATATAAATTCTTTGCCAAGTTTTGGTTCTTTAGTTTATCCTTGTCCATCGAATCCGTTACATACCCACCATCAAAATTGAAACTTTTTTTCCTGGGAAACACACTGTTTTGATCCTCTGATAAACTGTGTGCACGTACTGATGGAGATGCTTGGGGTTAACAAGAACCCAGCGATGATGAGGCTGATGAGAAACCAGAAAAGAAACGACGACGTTTTGATGAAGAAGAAGAAGAAGAAGGATCAGAAGAAGAACATCAAGGTGACTTATATATCGAGTCCCATGAAGGTGAAGACGAGTGCTTCGAACTTCAGAGCTCTTGTGCAGGAGCTTACTGGGCAAGACTCCAATGTTGCAGAGAAGTTTGATCTGCAGGAATCTGCAGATCATGACCATGATGATGATCATGCCGCCATGGCTGGACCTTCAAGTAATGGTGGTGGTGATGTTCAGCGTGAAGCTGATGAGGATGGCTTATATGTACCCATGCGTGAAGGTTCTTCTTGGTTGGATCTGTTATCTGATCGAGATTATTGTGGAGGGTTTCAGTATTCAAGATCCTTGTTGGAGTCATTCAACCAACACCACATGAAGTTTGATTTGGTTGAGATTTGATGTTGTAAATTATTCTGTATATTTCGATTTTTGTATTCGTTACTGGTTAATTTCAGGTTCTCTTCATCTTTAGTTTAGGTTTTTTTTTTTTAGAGATTTATATATAATTACGTTCTTATTAAAATTGCAAATTTCAATTTAATCCTCCATATGTTAATTTTTTTTTATCATTTTAAGAAACTAGTATTTTACCTGTGTAATGCACGGGTCCTCTTATAAAAATTATAATAATTTTTAATTTAATTTGTATTATTGAATGAGGTTATTTAAATGAAGTTATAATCAAAAGTATATTTTAAAATAATTAAAAATATATGATGGCATTGCAATAATAAAAAAATTACAATATAAATAAATTTACAATGTGATAAACTAAGATTTAAATTTCTATTGAGAGAAGTGGTTGCATTCAGTTCTTAGCCATATTTTAAATTGGAATTATACCAATACTTAATCAACACACATACACATGCATTCATTTAAATATATATGTAGAAAATATTTTCTAAATATAATGGATGTGAGTGTACTAAAAAAGGCATAAACATGAAATTATAACATACACAAATGAAATACATCTTATATAATATACAATATATTTAATATGAATGAATATTCAACAATTCGTTTAAACATGAGGTAATATATATATAAGGGAGGTAAATGAAGGTGTGCTTTTTTTCATTAATGAGTAGATCAATCATAAATAATAAAACCCATATAATACTTGAAAAAAATACAAGTAGAAAATATAAAAATAAAGTTTTATAAGGTATCAATTAGTCTATTAAATGAATCATAAAATATTCAAAACATTAAAATGCAACACAAAGCTTCATCCTGCAAAACCATCTCAAGTAATGTAGGCTCGTTTGAAACAGCATGAGGAGCAATGGACCACAACCGAACAATACGCACTTTGATATTCTAATCCTTGTGAGATCAATTAATGAAACGAATGCAATCAAATGTTGTAGTCATTTGAAATAATAATATCATGATTGAAAATTTTACAAATGAATGATTGTGTGGGGATGCAATTTTTATATATGCCTCTCCTAATTCGCATGCAATGCAAGTTCAGAACATGTGAGGAAAAGGACAACCCCATGATCTCAAAGCAATACTATATGTTCAACAAGAAAAGGCATGGAAAAGTGGGAAAAGTAAGGTGGAGACATAAGGTGGGATAGTTATAAAAAAAAAAAAAAACCTTAGACAATGTTTCAGTTTTTATGCTTCTAAAATATTTTTCTAATTTTCTTTATAGGTTATAAAAGCAAAAATATAATTTTTAGAGTGTTATAAATTGTTTACTTTGGAGCATCAATAGCAGAAACACACTAGTTATGTGCGCAGCCTTCTAAAAAATATATTTTTATTTTTATAAAGATTAAGTAATAATTACTATTGATATATTATTTAAATTAAATATGATAACATAATTTTTATAAATAAGAATTTCATTTTATCCTTGACATGTTTGCACGAGATGATACATTAAAATATCAAGAAAATTATGGTAATATAGTTAATATAAATATTAGAATTTAACTCAATATCCATTAATTACTTAATTCATAAATCATATATATTTAATTAATTTATAAATGAGAATTATATTAATTAAGAACATATAAAGAATTTAATGTAATTATTTTATTAAGTCATACGTTATAATTCAATTTTTATTTGTTTATTTATATGATTTAATTTGCAATAAAATCATTTAAATTATTATTCATAAAATTACTATACTAATTCAAATTATTCATGAAATGAAAATATTCAAAAAGTTATATTTAAGATTATAAGAGAGAATATCAAGGATAAAATATTTAAAAAAATTTAAATTGTGAATTAGTTGAGAAATTATATTTTAAGATTTTAAGATCATGGGAGAGAAGTTACATTTTCAAATTACAATCTTATAAATTACAAAAAATTATTTTAAAAAATTAATAATGAGGTGGATAGCATAGAATTATAATATTTTAAAAAAACTCATACGTGTCAAACTTAAATAAGTGTTTCTTATTTATCTATTTTTTATATATATATATATATATTCTCACCAAATTCTACGTGAATCATTGAGCTAAGAAGTTATTAGAATGATAGAGTAATCTAATAACTATTTATATTTAAATTTAATTATGTGCATGAATTAAAACAATCACAAATAAAATCACAGAGTAAGGAAGTTATTAAAACGATAAAATACTAAATAAATAATCATATCTAAAAGAGAAATTGTGGGATTAAAAAATTATTAGATTATGGGTTAAGAAGTTATTAAAATGAATAATTTAAATAACTATACATATTTAAATTTAATTATATGCATGAATAAAAAATTACAAATTAAATTGTAGAGCAAAAAATTTATTAGAATGACAAAATACTGAATAAGTAACTATATCTAAAAGAGAAATTATGGGGTTAAAAAGTTATCCGTTAATTACTCAATTCATAAATCATATATATTTAATTAAATTATAAATGAGAATTATATTAATTAATAACATATAAAGAATTTAATGTAATTATTTTATTAATTCATACGTTTATAATTCAGTTTTTATTTGTTTATTTATATGATTTAATTTGCAATAAAATTATTTAAATTATTATTCATAAAATTATTATACCAATTTAAAATTATTCATGAAATGGCAGTATTTGAAAGGTTATATTTGAGATTATGAGAGAGAATATTAAGGATAAAATTTTTAAAAATAAAATTATGAATTATGAATTAGTTGAGAAATTATATTTAAGATTTTAAGATCATGAGAGAGAAGTTACATTTTCAAATTACAATCTTATAAATTAGAAAAATGTTTTTTAAAATTAATAATGATGTGGATAGCATAAAATTGTAATATTAAAAAAAACTCATATGTGTCAAACTTGAAAAATTATTTCTTATTTATCTATTATATATATATATATATTCTTATCAAATTCAATGTGAATCATGGATCAAAGAAGTTATTAGAATGATAGAATAATTTAAATAACTATCCATATTTAAATTTAATTATATGCATGAATTAAAAAAATTACAAACTAAATTGCAGAGCAAGAAAGTTATTAGAATGATAGAATACTAAATAGCCAACCATATTTAAAAGAGCAATCATGGGGTTAGAAAATTATTAGATCATGGGTTAAGAAGTTACTGGATGAATAATTTAAATAACTATCCATATTTAAATTTAATTATATGCATGAATTAAAAAAATCACAAACTAAATTGCAGAGCAAGGAAGTTATTAAAATAATAGAATACATAATAACTAACCATATTTAAAAAAGAAATCATGAGATTAAGAAATTATTAAATTATGGGTTAAGAAGTTATTGAAATGATGGAATAAAAATAAATTATATTCATAAATTAAAAATAATTTTGTAAGTAAAATCTTGTGTGACTTTCTGAAATTATAGTATTTGAAGACAATGAAACTTGTCATTTATAGAGATGTGCTTATTATTCTTTTATTATATATATAGATGTTAATTTTTTTTTGATAAATAGATATTTTAAGTTTCAGATTTAGGTAGTTTTTGGAATTTTTATTTGACACTTTAGAAGAGATTAAAGTCACATGGGGTGATTTTTCAATTTGTTTGTAACTCACGGTAACATTGATCGGTTTCTAAACTTATTACTTATAATTTTGATATAGTTAAAACTCAGTTATTAAATTTTAATTTTTAGTAAAATTTAAATTTTATATTCTCTCTATTAAAAAGTATAAAATATTTTTAACCAAATCTCACCCTCAATAAAATAGTTATATACTTTTAAATTAATTCTATCTTTTCATATGTACCCCTATTAAACATCCTACAATAAATATAAAGTCATTTATTAATAGGATTCTTTTGAAAAAAATATAATTATTTTACCTCAAAAAATTAAAAAATGTCTTACATTTTTTAACATTCAACTCCTTAAAAAATACCTTATATTTTTTAATGGAGGAAGTAATTTTGAATTGGTTGAAACTAAGTTCTTAAATTTTGACTTGGCTATAAATTAATTTTTATAGTTTTAACCATTTAAAACATATTGATTTCATATTTTAAAAAAATAAAATAATACAGACTTAAAATTTTATTTTTTAAAACTTAGAAACTAATATTTTATATGATAAAATTTATATACTACGTTACATGCTGATTAATAAAATATTTATATATAATATTTAATAGAGTTATAATTGAAAAGATCAACAATGACTTTAAAATACTTAAAATTTCGGAACACTTTTTTGTGAAAAAAATCTGTGAATTAGTTATAAACACGTGGTTGGAAATAAGAAACAATGATTAAGAGGATAAGTGGAAAAACAATGATAACATGACAAGAAATGTCTCAATCCAATTATTGAACTCTAACACGTCGTGGACAAGTAGGGCAGGGCGAGATAATTTCAATGGCCCATCCTAATCTAAAAGCTAAATTTTTTTCTCCATTTCTTCATTTGCCTACCATTCATATATTTTAATTTTTAAATTTAAAATATAAAAAAATTATTGGTGATATTAGTTATTATAAATTCGTATAAATTAATTTTGATATCTCCTATTATTATTTTAAATTACTACAGATGATAAATACCACCAATCGAGTGGATCAACTTACTAGGGAGTTGATCACACCTAGAATTCATGAATGAAAAGCAAAAAATATAAATAAAATTATAACGTTCTTAAAATTTATATTTTTTTAACCAAAATATAATGATAGGTGGCACTAAAAAAATCTAATAATAGGTCCTCTAAAATATAGTAGCAGTTTTAACTTTTATCCTTGAAAAATAATAAAAAAATATCCATAAAATAAAAAAAATTAGAAATTTGAATTTTTTGATATGTGTGTGTGTGTGTGTACATACATATATTTGGATTTTTGACCATAATGTTAGATTTCTACAGCGGCTTTTTACAATTATAAGTTTCTGTACCCAATATTAGAGGTTTGGTTCCTTATGAATTTAATAATTATCATATGTGTTTTTTTCCATCAAAAAGTGAAAAATAGCGTATGTATGAACATCTAGAACTGGGGTAACAGGTCGTGACTGTGAGATTGGCCTATTTAAGCCTGTTTAAATGTAGGGTCAAACT